ATTTGCCAGGGGGGGGGAGAGAATATTTTGGGGCTGATGTTGGAAGGCCAAAGGGTCCTCCCTCCCTCCAGGGTCTTGAGGAGAAACCTTGCCCTGCTTATAAAAATAGTTCACATTATTCACATATGTCACCTCTGATAGATCGCTTGCTTGGCATGATATACTGGAAATGTTCAAGCAAATAACAAAAATACATCTGTAATTGCTGAATTGGTGGTAAGCTGCAACATTTCTAGTGTGCCTGTTTTCTCTTCTTTTGGCAAGGTTCCTTTATGGGATGGAGATAATTTCAGTTATTATTCAGTGGTTTGAATTTGCATATCTCCAAGGAAACCTGAGAAACTAATAAAGAAGTAGGGATTATCTTTTTCTTTCAGCAATTTCCCCTCTTTCCAATAAATAATGCAAAGTAAAATCTTTATTCACCCGTACATTTTCCAACAACAACATACGTATAACCTGAATGATGTTTTATTGATCAACAGAATGAAGTGAGTGTTTTGCTTGCAATTTTAAAAGATTTTTATTTATAGAAAGAGAAGAAATAAATAAAAAATTGATTTTTATTTAAAAAAAACAAAAAAGGAAAAAAAATGCATACCTAAATTTTTTTAATGAATTAAATGTGATTTCTCAGGAAATGAAAGCAAAGGCTCTTTTGCACGACCAGTTCTCTGTGTTAAGCCTGCCACTAACTTCTAGCTCTGCTGCTTGTGGCATGGCCAGGATTCTCAGCAAGGTATCTGAGGATGACACAGCACTGCAAATACTTTGGGAAACAACCATTGTATCACTGCATCAGAAGCCAATCCTCTTTTAGCCAGTAGCTTTAAAAAGAAAAGTTCTTAAAGCTTGTTTAAAGGATTGAAGAGAAGTACAGTTATAGGATGACTTCTTCATATCAAATCCGACAAGAATTGACTGTGAATTGTCTTTATTTGTAATGATGCTAAATCATTATCATGCTTGCAGATGATCTTTCTTCTGATGTGGTTACTGCTGGCTTTATTGTATCATTGTCTGGATGCTTCAGTATGTGTTGTATGTCATGATTCTGATGTGGTTACTGCTGGCTTTATTGTTTCATTGTCTGGATGCTTCAGTATGTGCTGTATGTCATGATGGCTAGAGCACACTCAGGCATTTCCTCCCCAAGTCCTTGCAAATTCATTAGTCCTCCTGAGTGGCTATAGCCCAAGCAGCCAGTCCCCTATACTAAAATATAATTATGGGAAAAGAATGAGGGTGAGTGTGTGTGTGTGTGTGGGAATCCATGTGAACCTTATCCTGGCAGAAAAGATTGGCTATAAATGTACCAATAAAGCTTTCAGTTCCATCCATTTTACCACACTTTTAGAAGGCTAATAAAATGAGCTATAGTGTGGGGTGGCACATGTGGGTTGAGCATCTGAATTGTTCTAGGCCTTAAAACTAGTATTGTAGTATTGGAATTAGTTCATGATTTTACAGGCAGCCAAGATATACAGCTCGTGGTGAATAAATGTCATGCTTCACCATTATTGTCAATGGACCCTAAAGACACGGACTGACTTTAATTGTACCTTTAAAACTCTGCCTGCCTATGGGTGGTTCGGTCTACGTGTAGTCTTGAACTTGCGACAGATCTCATAGTCACAACATCTGGCCCAACAGTCACAACATCATCATTATTCATGTCTGATTTTTGCCTACATAATGTCTTCTGTAGTGCAATAAATCCACCCTTTGAAAAACATCCAATTTTTTTTGAAACAGAAACTTAATATAATTGTACAATATGTACAATAAAACCATCAAACAACCATCTCTCTCTCTCTCTCTCTCTTATAATCATATACCAATTTGATTTGTTTTTGTAGCTCAGACAGTGCTCCTGATCCCTTCTAGAGATACTGACAAGGTGTTCAGTGCTGTAATTACTTCTTGTATTTCTCTTGTATTGGTTTTTTCCATAATGAATCACAAAACTGCTTTGGGGTGGGGGTGGGGGACATTTTGTCCTGCTTGTCCCAGGTGCTGAAATTGCTAATTGCAGGCCTTGGTTATACACATGAAGGAACCGTACTGTTTTCAGTGGAGCTTCGAGGGAAGGACATCAGAGAGGATGTCCTGGACCCCACAGACCACAAAGTCCTCCAGTGACCACCCAGAGAATGGGAGGTGATGGGGCAGCAGCAAACAAGCCCATAATCCTCACCTGGGCTAGCATGGGCATGCTAGGGCTAGCTGGATGTTATGCCTGAATTCAGTATATGGTTTTACAGAGGAGCATTGGTAAATAACACAGGATAGGACGAATGCAGTCTTGGTCTCACTGGGTCTTGGTGCATTTGGGAGAATGTGCGAGATGGATTTATCAGTGTTCACTCCTGGGCTGTAGCATTCATTCCCTACCAAGGAGGACAGGCTGGTTGTGCCAGCCTCGTGTCCTTTAGTTTGGAGGCAAAATTCTTTTTATTTAGTCCGGCTTTTGGCAACTGAGCTGACTTGTTGTGGAAGGGGTTTTAAAAGGTCAGTATTGTTCCTTTTCTTTTTTTCTTTCAGTTTAATTGAAATTAGCCTTACAAGGTGCTGTTAAAAAGTCATGATGATTTTTTCAGAAATACAGTATATGGGAAGTGCTAATATTTTCAAGGGCTAATCTCTGGTCCGCTTGAAAGTGGAGCTAATGCTTCAGGTGAGAACAAAGCAGTAGTGGGGTGGCTGCACCTTGAGCGGGTTGACAATGATTTTTTTTTCTTCCAAGTGACCATTTCCCCCCAGTGCTAAATCAAACCAGCTAATAAGCAGCAATTGGTTGCCTGCTTTATTTTCCTCTCTTACAGGTCTTTATATCCCAATGGGCTGCCTGGCGAATATTCTATTCTAACTACTTTTCGGATGTCTGGAAGCACACTCCAGAAATACTGGAGCGTTTGGCAGGTTATGGATGCTTCTGGACAAGAACAAGTTGGACTGAAGCTTAATGGACAAGCCAAGTCTCTTGAATACTCATATAGAGGAATTGATGGAAGTCTTCAAACAGCGACATTTCTGGACTTGCCCTACCTGTTTGATTCCCAGTGGCACAAGGTCATGGTCGGTATAGAGAAAAACACAGCCAGCCTTTACATTGACTGCACCATGATCCAGACTTTATCCATAAAACCAAGGGGAAAGATCAATGTGGATGGCTTTACCATGCTGGGAAAACTGAACAATGATCCTCAGATTTCAATTCCGGTAAGTTTTGAACATTTACCTTTGAAAGAAAAAGAGCTTGCTTTTCTTTCTTTAATCTGGTAAATTGGTAGAAGGATTAAAAGACATTTGGTTCCAAATAGGTTAGCAAGAAATGGATCTGTGACTTTGATATCGCAAGGAGGGGAGATTAATTCTCTTTTAATAAGCTTCGAATGCCAAAACCTAATTATAATTGAATATCTGGGAATTGGCTCTTATTGAACCTTACAAGAACTAGGAAGGTACCTGGGGCGAGGAGACCATTCCTGAAAGCAAGAGATTATTTAATAAATCACACTAAAATGGATGCTGCATTTACTGGAGATTTAAGTGTAAGCCTTATCTCAACTTATAACGTATCATAATTAAAAGCCATCAAACCTTTACAAATTAGAAGTGAACATGACCATCTTTGAACTGTAATAACCCAAAGCAGCTTATCAAAATTTATTGTGCTGTCAGAGACATTGAAAGTCTTAATGATTTATGTAAGCTGGCCATTGAAAAATATGTTTACTTTATCCTATTTTAGTTGACCTATGCCCCACTTTACTCCAAAACTGAGGGTAGAAACTGAACTATCCTAATGTAAAAGGCACAAATTTTCCTACAAAATTCACAGTTGAAACCCAGAACATGACCTCCTTGTTCATACCAAAGGAAAAATTTTGAAGAATAAAACAAAGGTTTATTCTGGAATACAAGCTAAAGTAGGGCAAAAGGTGAGCATTTTTGGATATCATCCAGAAACCTTTCTTATGACATCACCATGAAGTGGGATACTTTTTAAATGAGAAAATAATTCTGGCTGTAGTAATTTGTACAATTAGTACCTAACAAATCTCCATGCGGGCTTGGATAATCTTAGTTCCTAATGTCACAAAGTACTTTCTTTTTAACATTATAATGTAACAGAACCTTGGCCCCTCAAAATAGAAAGGATTATATATATAAATGCATTATGTTTGGATATTAGTTCTGTAAATGTATTTTATGTAATCATTTGCTGACAGTTTAGCCCATGGCAGAACATTTGCACCATACTTAATTCAGACGAACTAGATTTCAGACATCCTGGTGGTCAGAAACATGTTGTTCTTCTCTTGCTGCTAATATTCTGTTGTCACCAGCTTCCTTGTGAAGTGCAGTTAAGGTCTTAAGAAAAGCCCCAACAGTGACAAACTATGCATCAATGCATCTGTGTGATTATTCCCATCCAGCTGTTGGTTTGGAAGAGTGACTGCTTCCATCTTTCTCTATCAGGCATCTGATACTGTAACTCCCACCTGAACCGTGCTTCTCTCTCTCTCTCTCTCTCTCTCTCTCTCTCTCTCTGTGTGTGTGTGTGTGTGTTGAAAAATAGTCTTAAACTTAAAAGGCCAAGGGTCTCTAGATTGCTTTATTTTATCACCATCACAATTAAAAATATTTAGTAGACTGACCTCTGAATTAATCAGCACCAGAATGTGTTACTTTATAGCAGATTTGGACAGGTTTGCAGCTTTCATGTAATTATTGGTTAATTGGTAGACAAAGGCTGGTCCTGTAACATAGATTCATTCTCAGAGTCATTGGCTAGAATCCTGTTGTGCAATCGACATTGCCTCAAGCTGATTATGACATCAGTCATGATGATTTTTTTGGAAATGAAATGTTTCTGATTTCTCCTCTGCATATCTTGAGGTTCCCATAAAATCTCTTTCATCATTGGGAATCTGTGGGAGCCATGAGAGAGAAGGGGGAAGTTTTTAATTTCCTAAAATGGCTGAATGCTAAAGCGTGATCTCCAAGTGGAAATCATGTTTCCTACACCTGACTGGGTTTGTGTTGACCCAGCCAAAAAGCAATGGAAATGTGTTTCAGTTTGATAACTTCAGTTAATGAACAGGTAGGCTTTTGAGTTTACCTGTTTCAGTTGGTTTCCATTTTAAATATAGAAGAATGTGTGACAGTTTGCTGTTTTAGCTGAGGCAGGATTCTTTATTAAGCAGAGCAGAGAGGTATTATGTAGCTATATCGATTGAATAGTGCCATTGGTACGATTCGTACATGACTCATCCAAGCTGGGTAAGGGATGAGTCAGGGAGAGATAGGAAGATGCAGCACCTCTTGATTTGGGATTACCACTGTACCACAGTGTACGCACCCAGTCTCGTCTGATGTCGGAAGTTAAGCAAGGTTATAGGAGGTTAGTATCTGAATAGCAGATCTTTACGGAAAAAACTGAGATGTCCAGGTAGGACTAGAAAACATCTTGAAACCATGGTGAGATGCTGATAGGTAAGAGTAGGGAAATGAATGAAACTCTGCTGAGCAGCTGCCAGCCAGAGTTGACAATAGTGGGTTAGATCAGTGGTTCTTAACGTGGGTGACAATGCCCCCCAGGGGGCGATTTCATTTTTCAGGGGGG